CCCCCCAAAAGTACTCTCTCCCCCAACCGCCTCACCACCTCACCCCTCTCACAAACACCATCCAAGGATAAACAGAAAACAAAAACAAAACAAAAGAGAACAAATATAAACTCTCAAACCTCCACAGAAGGAGTTAAAAATTGTGTTAAACCAGAAAGGAAAACGATGTAACGTCAAGACGCAAGGGCTTTCAACACCTGAGGAGTGAACATATGCAATGATGAGATACAAAGTTTAAGAACAGTTGTCTCTTTTAAAAACTCACTTAAATTGGAGATTTTAAATTTTCTCGATTTGTGCGGAAGGCGCATGATGTTCTGTATATTGATGGAAAAAAGGGAAATCACTATTTACTATTTAGTATTTAGTATTTAGTATTTACTATTTAGTATTTAGTATTATTAATTTATTATAAACTTTTTTCTTTTTTTTTCTTAGGCAAAACATCTGCTGAATCAGATAATCCTACAGTTGTTAATCCCAAATCCACACCGCTAATATCCTACGGTCTCCACCCTTACAGAACGCTCAATCATTATCGCTACATCCGAACTGAAAACTGCCCCAAATACAGCTATATACTGACCGGTGCAAGGAACAATGAAGTAATGAGCCCATGTTCAAGCCCTCAGGCCACACCAACACAGTATCCAATGTCGCTCCTCTCTGTCTGGCGCCCAGCGCCCAGTCTACACTACTTGCCTATCCGACTACATCCGCATTCACGCAACAGGCTCACTTCGACTCTCGAAGACCAATGTACATGACGTTAACACCATAGTCGACCTCCTTCACGTACCAGGTACGTATCTCGTCTCCCCTCATCAGACCCTGGCCACCCAGACTCGCCTCCTTCCTGAAGACCACCGATTGCCCCTTAACCGCTAGCGCCCTGCAGCCTGGCTATGGCTGTCTGCCCTCCGCTGCCCAGCAGCGCCCCTCTGACCTCACAAGCGCCCGCACGCGCCCTGGCCTGCGAACGCAGCACGCAGCCTATCGCGCAGCAACGCCGCAGTGTGACCGCAATGCCTGTGTGGGCCAAATTGCCGGACCCTGGCTGTTTGGGAGGGGCAACCTCTGTTTGGCTGCGTGTGGCCTGGCGGGGAAGCTTCCAGTAGCTTCCGGTCAGGCCCCAGTGCCTGTGCACAGGCCCAGCTGTGCAGGGGAGGGCCTGGGCCCTTTACAGTTGGGCAGCGGCCAGTATTTCCAGACTCGGGCCGATTGCTGCATTTGCACAGGACCCGGGGTATGTACGTCGACAATGCTACTTTTTTCGTAGCCCTGCAGCCAATTCGTGATGTATCTGCCTTGCATTGTGTGTGTGTGCCCAGGCGCAACTTCCACGGCCTGGGCTCAACTGTACGGCGCAGCACAGGGAGGCTCACGCTTCCTCTCAACCAACTCGCGTGCTGCAACAGTCTGAGTACCTACATATGGAAAATGTAAAATTTTGGCCTCTGGTGAATATTCCGGCCCGCCTTCACTTAGGGCGGGTAAGGGGCTTGCTGAGGGCCACAGCCCAGAACATCTGCATGTCTGATAAGCGCCCTGCGAGGGCTCATTCCTCGCACCGACCATTATATTCGGGTGAAGACGGAAGCACCCCCATTCCCCAAAAAACTTGTACGGTCATACCACTAATATTCCAGGGATGCATTCCCAAGGTAACCCAAACATCTAGGGACTAGTTCCCCAGATAACGCCCCAAATATCCTACCGTCTTCTCAAGAACAGAACATATGGTCACCATAGCTGTACTTGGGCAACTTCCAGCATTAGATACCCTCATTATAGCCGTAGTACTTGGGGCAACCTTCAGTCTACATACAGAGATGATGACCGTACATTCTCTTCGGGTGAACACGGTCGCGATTCATTCCCCCAAACAGGCAGGCATCAACAGTGTGTCAGCGATTGTGTGGCTGTATTTCACATAATTTCATACCAACCACCCACACAATATCAAATACCAAATCCTTCCAGATGCAAACACAAGTGATTGTCGTGGCCGCCGCCGCTAAAGACAACTCCACAGAAAAACACAGCATGACTGTGCCAGACTGTTTGGTCAGATTCAGACTGTTTTTTTTTTTTTTTTCCTGACACTGCATATACTGGCGAATTGTGTGTGCAAGAGAGAGAATGTGTCACGAACCATCGCCTAAGTAAAACCACCGAATCTCTCTCGTGCATGTTTGTGCGTTGTCAGATCCTCAGCTTTACCTGAACACAGACTTCTTTCCACATCTAACGAACGAGATGGCGATGACGCGGCAAACCACCTTCATTCATCAGTTTAAACAGACCTCCGAAGGGCTACAGCGATAGATGGACTGAATGCTTCCTCCTGTCTGGCTCACTCTGCTCAGACACTCAGGGGATACTCACACGAGGACGTTTTTTTTCACAAAGCTCTTGTACGTGATTGCAGTCAGATTCATCCTGGTCCCGCCATAATTGCTGTAAGATGCATTCTGAAAAGGTCTTGTGTGCGTACGCCCTCAGACATTTCTCCCACAGCGTACAAAGTCCGTAGACGTTGAAGCAGAGCAGCCAATGACCGCTCAGTTCATCTCACCTGCGCATAGGCTCCATCTACATTCACCGCCCAATCATCTCTGACTCACACAGTGTTCGCAAACCACATCTGCGTTGCCAACTTCCAGCCGATGTATCATTACAACCGTCTTGACCGGATCCGTACTTGGGGAATGCCTTTTGCCCTTCTCTTAGTTCTCTGTTCTCCTCATTGACTGTCCCGGAAATGTCTCGGGCAGCAAGTATACAATACATACACCGCGCTCAGATTGAGGTTGCCTTGTGAAAGGCGGAAAAATATTGCGCAGAATGTAGCAACTGTCTCTTATACACATCTAGCAAGGAAGTATTCAATGATCAAGGACCATGCATTTACAGAGCAGATCCATGCCAAATAGTGACATTCAATGCGACAAGCACATTTGGACAAGGCCCCCGACATGGTCAGAGTGCGTTCAAGGGTCCACCAAACCAAGCCGGAAAGGTGCTGCGCGCCAAAACAAACACGAAACGGGCGGGCCTCCTTTTGGATGGCACCACCGCCCATTTTGCTCCAGCAGCCGAGCCCCAAAAGTTGCAGAGCATGCAAGCCGCAACTCTAAAAAATTAGCTAGGAAACGTACCGGTGGTTTAAACTCGTTCAGCCAGGAGTCCTGATACCTTGGAACAGCCAGCGCAAGTGCCACCAAGACAAAAAATGCTAAACCAAATCAAGCAGTGATCCTCGCGGCAGGAAGAGAGAGAGAGAGAGAGAGAGAGAGAGAGAGAGAGAGAGAGAGAGAGAGAGAGAGAGAGAGAGAGAGAGTCACCTCTCCAATATGACGGCTTCCAAGCAGTGCATTCGCATCGAGCTTGTAGTTATGTTGTGGCACAAGTGCGGACGAGGGATCACCTCTCAGGGCAGCGCGGCGAAAATCCTGAACAGTCACATATACAACCACATGGGCAAAGCCACTTTTCAGGGTCAGGGAGAAACACCTACGCACACCCACGCACACACACACACACACACACACACACACACACACACACACACACACACACACACACACACACCAAAACACATGCATGCATGTATACATCTGCTTACCCCACCCCTCCACACACAAGGTCCAAGACATGCATGTATATATCTGCTAACCCGCGCACCCACACGCAAGGCCTAAGATATGTACGTATCTCCCCGTTCTCCACTTAATTTGCTTCTGCAAGTACTCTCCTTGTTGAACCCAAGGTACGCCGAACCTGTACAGTTTTTTAAACTTTTTTTCGGCTGTGAAGTCCTTGTTTCAATGTCAAAGGAAAGAACTGTTGACACAAACATACACACACACCCAAACAAAACTAAAGAAACAAACTTGAAAATTGAAATTGAAATCAAAATGCAAGGAACATGAGTATGGACGAAGCACAGAAATCCGGAATGCAAAATCACACTGAAGTCCAAGTATTCACAGCCAAAGCAGATAGCACATGGAACCGAGTAACCATCCCATTGAGAATGATACAGAAGAATCCTGAGTCAATGTCCATGCCCAMCAGGGCAACACCAACGGCATAACCCAAATGTAGCTCTCTCTTGTGAATGGCGCCAGGCGCCCTATCTACTCTACAGCCTATCCTACAACTACAGCAATGAACAGCAACCAGACAAGTTGACTACCGGCGAGTGATGATGTCAACACCAATGCAGACCTCCACCATCACCAGGTACGTGTCATCTTCCCCACACTCTCCCTTGTTACCCACACAGCTCCCTTCACCTCCGAAGTACCACCTTCGCCCTCACCTCCCCTGCACCCTCTTGCGGCCCGGCTATGGCCGCCAGTGCTCTGCTAGCAGGCAGCGCCCTACCGCCTAGCGCTGCCCTGCTTCTTCTTAGCGCAGCGCTGCTCTGCATTAGCGCAGCACCCTTGCATCTGCGCAGCATGCCCGCATATGCCAGCATTGGCCAAGCCCCCCTGCTGCCTCGCCCGGCTTGCCTATATGCCAGTGCAGTGTGTGGGCAGCCTCCCTTCAGCCTGTGACCGGGGCCCAGAGGCTGAAGCCAACTCGATACAGTTGGGCCCCGGGGTAAGGCAGTTGCGCCTCCTTCATCAAGGCCTGCGGCCAGATTCAGACAGTGGGCCGATTTCCCTTTGGCATTTTCGGCCTCTCTTCCCAGCATGCATTGTAGGCCTCACGTTCAGATGCCCAGGGCCTAACCAACTCAGAGGCCCTGGGCTTTCAGCATTTGCTGAAGTCCGAGACTCGGTGCACTCCAACCAACTGGCGTGCTGCAACTGTATGAACCCCACTTCGTGAAATGTTGCACAGAGGGCTCTTGTCGATTTGCTGGCCCGCCTTCACTTAGGGCGGGCACTAGGCTTGCTGGGGCCTTAGCCCAGAACATGTACATCATGGCAAGGCCGCTACTTGAGGGCTCAATCCTCACAAAAATTTGAAACACAAAGAAAAAGAAATAGTGATTAATCCCAGTGAACTCCTCATCCAAAAGCATTGAAAATTGAAATCAAAATTTGAAACACACAAAAAAAAGAAATAGCGATAAGTTGCATCAGGATAGAGGCTACGAAAGTCGACCGGGCGGGCCCGCCTGGCTGGGCATCCCGGGCCTGGGCAGCCCGCCCGGACTCGCCCGGGGCACCCGGGCGACTTATTTTCGGCCTTTTTTTTTTTTGGGAGGCAGCGCATTTTTGCGCTTTGCCTAAGTGTCCAAATGTGCTGTTTTTTTTTTTTTTTT